ATGTCCACACCCCAGTCCCTTCTCCTCCATTCTCCTCTCGGGATCTTGGGCACGCACGCACACGCGCCCGGCGTGAGTTTAAACCACCAAGTCCAGGACTCAAACTGTGATCGACTACATGGGAGTCCAGTGATGTAGCCATTACTCCAACCGCTGGTCCCATGAAAACTAATCTTTTAATAGTGAAAGTTAATCATATTCTTCCTGTTGAGAATGAGCGTAGGCAACCTGGCATTGTGTGGAAGTTTATTCACAGTGGAAATGTTTATGTATATATTTTCCTACTGCCTCTGGTAATTTCTTTTTATTCTATTTTTTAATTTTTTATTTATTTTTTATTTTTTCCCCCTCTGGGATTTTTTTTTTTTTAAACATGAATTCTATTTGAATTTCCCCAAGTCACTCTCTTTTGTAGTTTTGGAGGGGATAAATATTTTTCAGAGTATGTTGTGTTTGTGTTCTAGGAAATTGCATGTCATCATTAACCTAGTGTTTCAGAAACCCAAGTGGGAAGAAGTGAAGCAAAGTTATTTTCCCCTTACTTTGGTCATGGCCATATTTTTTATTTAAGAAATTATGAATTACTTCATGGATGTTTTATATGTACAAAATGAAAATTAAAGCCAAATTGTCCCAGAAGTTATAGGTTGCTAAAGAATGTGTTTTTGTAGTCTCTTCTTCTGTACATGTAAGTCATGCTTTTGGTGATATCGAACACCAATACCAAACAACAGTATTTCAGTATAAGTATTTGTTTATAGTGTTCAGAATTCTTAAAATTTGCTTTGTAAGCAGAGCATGAAATCCTTTGGAACTAAAGAAGAAGAAAGTGCATGTTAAGTGTAGATAGCCACTGCCCCAACTAGGCATGCGTCTGAGAACTTTTTTCTTTAAAATCCATGAAGGGAACCAGCAAGTGGCATGGTAGTTACGGTGCTGGACTTTCACATAGCTTACTGCAGTTCAGGTCCTGGACCTGGCAGCTTGAAAATCAGACTGGGCGCATGTGCGTGTGTGTCCAAAATCCCATGAGGAGACCAGAGGAGAGGGGATGGCTGCATGGGCATCCCTCCTGGAAATGATTTCTCATTTTTACTCTCACTGTCTCTCTCTTCGGTAAGCACACATGCTGTATAGCAAAAACCTTTAAAAAAAAAATGAAGTATAGGAGATTGCTCCTTTTACATATGGGGAAATTGAGGCCTTGTCCAAAGATGCAGAGTTGGACTTTAGCATTCTAGCTCTTAATTCAGCTTCTTTATTTATTTATTTTTTTGGAGAGGTTTTTGTTATAGGGCGCGTGCACTCGCCAGACAGACAGAGAGAGACATAGAGACAGAAAGTGAGAAATCACCCCCCAGGGGGGATGGTCATGCCACAATCCCTTCTCCTCCATTCTCCTCTCGGGATCTTGGGCATGCACGCACATTCGCCCGGAGTGAGTTTAAAGCCACCGGGTCCAGGACGTGAACCACAGTCGACTATGTGGGAGTCCAGCGACATAGCCATTACGCTAACTGCTGGTTCCCTTAATTCGGCTTCTTCAAATAAAGGTATCGGGCAGGGACAGTGGAAGCCAGCAGACAGTCCAAGTTCCCCACTTCCCCTTGCAGTCACTAGACATTTGAATCTGAGCGCTGTCGAGCCCTGTGTGCCAGTGTTCGTACCCTCCATGTGGCATTTGTGGCTTCTGGGATGTGACATGACATGGATGCTCCCAGCTCCTAATAGTTTTGTCTTGGAGATTTTTGTGACTTTTATGATCAGCCACGGCAGCAGCAGCCTGTGTAGCTCCAAACAGCCCTCACTTTGGGGGGCCACCTTGCTTTAGGCTCTGCTACTGAGCATTTGTTTGAAAGGACATAATTGCCCTTCCCATCTGGATTAGCCCAAAGACATTTTTTGTGACTCTGAGACTAGTAGCTTCAAATCAGAGAGTGACTGGTGTGGTTGATTGAGCAGAGTATTTTTTTTTTTTTTTTTTTTTGGAGAGAGATTTTTGCTATAGGGTGCGTTGCGCTTGCCAGACAGACAGAGAGACAGAAAGTGAGAAATCACCCCCCAGGGTGGATGGCCCTGCCGCAATCCCTTCTCCTCCATTCTCCTCTCGGGATCTTGGGCACGCACGCACACGTGCCTGGTGTGAGTTTTAAGCCACCGTGTCCGGGACGTGAACCACGGTCAACTATGTGGGAGTCCAGCGACATAGTCATTATGCTAACTGCTGGTCCTTGAGCAGAGTAGTCTTCACGTGAGGTGTAGATGCAGACCCTCCAAGATGTTCCATCTCTGTGCTACTTAAACTCTGCCCCAGTGTTGTCTTTTCAATAAAATGGAGTAGAAATGGCAATGATTTGAAGGCACAGGTGTGATTTTTGCACATTCTGGAATGTCACCTCAGTTACAAGAGTGGCTGAGTGTACTCCTGAAATCCCCATTGCTGTTCCTTTCGATCTTTCTGCCTTTTTACTGACTGTGTAGTGTTACTGGGTAACATGCATTTTATTGTGCCTTTCTTTTTGTGAGCTGTGACTGTTGTTTTCTCCATGGCTATAAAATGACTCATCCAGGGAAAATCCCAAAGAAAGAACTTTTAAAGGTTATCTTATTTCTTTTTAGTCACTGAAATTTATGCCTTTTTCTTTTTTTCTATTTGAGAGGTTATGGTCCATTTCTTATAAACTTAATGACTAACCCAGTTTGAAAACACAGAACACATTTTACAAACTCCGTGGTGACTTTCTGTGAATAGATTCTTTGGAGAAATTCTTCCTTTCTTGTGCCACATGAATCTTTCTTTTTTGATCAAGTATTGATAAAAAAAATTATAACAGCAAATTTTTTTTTACTGATTACAGTCTGCTTCCTGAACTCCCATGCTAGAGGGTATTTTTGTTCCGTTGCAGTGCTTGTAATGGAAGGGGGTGTAAAGGAATCCTCTCCTCTGAATTATGCAGATCTGCTGTGCACTACGCGGACCTGTGAGAACCCAGGAAGTGTACCCGTTCTGACTGAGGTGGGACCGATGGGTGCTTCTGCACAGTGAGCAGACAGGTGGCATGCTTGAGTGGCAACAAGATGACGGAGGTAGGGGGACTATATGAGGACCGTCAGACAACCTGAGGCCTCGGGGCATGTAGCTTTC